TATATATCCATTCACTATTTAATAGTGTTTTAAGGGTGTGTTTGGTATTATAGTAGCTATTATAATGGTGATTTAAAAAAAATTATTTTATAAAAAGTATTTTTAGTTGAGGTTGATTTAATATTTATATATATTTGGTTAAAACTGTAATTGAAATTAAAGTTGAACAAAAAATAGTTTAATGTATTTAGTTAATAATACTTTTAAAATTGAGGTTATGAAATAATTTTAAATATATATATATTATTAATATTGATGGTTTTTAATTTAAATATTATAAATTTATTTATTGTCATTACATCATGAAATAAATAATATTTTATATAAAATATTTTTCATTGCTTTATTAAATTATCTATAATTCTATTACATATGAAATACATTCAATAAGGATTATAATTTTTTTAGTTTTTCAAGTGTGCATTAATATTAGATAAAATATAATTATGAATAAAATTGAAATTGAGATCAAATTCTATAAATGTTTCGTCATCAAATGATCTTTGTCTAATTATGTAATGTTGTTAAATACTAGTTTTTCAAATAAAATATAATTAAAAAAAAATAATTTTTATTTTATTTTACTGAGTTAGACTCGATTCAATACATATTAAGCTTTGAACTAAACCCGGTTTAGCAAAAACTTGTTCAATCAGAACAGTAAAACTCACTATACTGTTCATACTAATTACACTGTTACCAAACATTGTAATTAACATAGACAGTATGCATGAAATATCGATTACTTGCTTTTTTTTGCTGTATTTCAAACACAAAGATTGTGAGAAATTGTGTTTTTTTTATATTAAAAAGGTTGTATATATATTTTAAACAAAAACAAACACAACCTCATCATCAAATATCCTTTGAGTGAAGTGAGTATATAATAAAAAAAAATAAAAAATTATAGTAATTTATGCTCTGTTTTATCATACGATAAAAACTTTTAATACACTATAAAAGCTGGAAAAAGAAATAAAAAGCTAATAACCACCTTGTTTTATGAATTCATTCAAGTGGCTTGCAACATACATTTAGTCCTCACATTTATCAGTTTTGAAGGATAAAAGACTACTAAATTAAACATGGTGGTCAAGGGATTATTTGATTAATTTTCGATGTCACAGGGAATAACTAATTTTTTTCTTATAACATTTAGTGATTAAGTTATAATTAACTCACAAAATATGGAACTTTTAATTGGAGTCATTGTCTGATCTTTAATTTTGTCAAATGCAAAGAAATCTAAAGACACATGTTTTATTTATTCCTATTCTTAAAACATTTTTCTCCTATACAGATAAAAATACGATTAGAAAAGTTTGATGCTTGGTATTGAAATTGAACCTGCTTTTCAATTAAAATTTTTATTTTATTTTATTTTAAAGTAATATTTTTAGTATTTTAAAATTGTTTAATATATTGATATTAAAAATAAATTTTTTAATAAAAAAATTATCATTTTAATAAATTTTTAAATAAAAATATATTTTAATAAAGAGATATATCTATGAGAGTAAGAGCTCTTTGTATTATGCTAGTATTAATTGTACCTAAAAAATTGGAACATGGAGGATTTTTAGAACATGGAGGATGTGTATTGACTATTGCATTGTCAACAACTAATAATATTAATGAGAGTTTTGAGATAAAAAATTAAATAAACAGTAATAAAAATAAATTTTAAAATTAAAAGATTCACTAATAATATTTTAAATAAATATAATATAATTTTTTTTTATTACTCATCCGTACACAAATAAAATTTGATGGATATACGCGTCAAGTCACAGTATCCCCAACTTAGCGGAAGAGTCTAAAGCGAACAGCAGACAACGTTTAGAAACAAAAACCATAAAATAATTAGATAATCAGAGAGTGAGTATAACCCTACGTTTTCTGTCTCTCTCTTTGAAAATTGAGGCACAGAGAGAGGAAGGAGAGAGGGCTTGAGCCGGAAGGGAAAAAAACTGATGCGCAGAGGGAGTGTTTCCTGCCGAGAGGGAGCACTGCTTGATTTATTTTTATAAATTAAAAATTTAATAACGTTACAATCAGAAAAATTGTTGTGTAAATTTAACATTTATAGAATTAATTTAAAATAATATGTAAGACTATTTAAATAGAAAATCCTCAAATCTAATTAAGAAAAAAAATCGAAAACTAAGAAAATATATGTAAATTATTTGGCAATGCAAACACCATAATGACCTTGAAAATAATACATTTGTCTTGAGCTTTAATTATTTCTTTCTGATAAACAGATCATATTTTTTTTATGACAAAAGCACTTCCGTCACCAGCCTGTCTAAATTCATGGATGATGAACCACCGGGCCCAGTGGCCTCCTCAGCTAATTTTTTCCACTCCATGGCTGTATTCTTCATTTTCTTACCTTCTTCTCCTTCCATCATCTCTCTCACTTGTTGTTCCACATTTTCTCTCGTCACATTGCTGTCAATCTCCATTCCAATTGCCCACTCATTGCATGTATATCGACAGTTTGTTTGCTGATCACCGAAGGATGGCCAACAAAGCATAGGGACGCCAGAAGAAATGCTCTCAATTACTGAGCTCCATCCACAATGTGTTAGAAAACCTCCAACTGATGGGTGGTCGAGGACTTCCTCTTGCGGACACCAGCTTGAAATAAAGCACCTGTCTTTAGTTTCTTCACCTGACATGATCGCTGGCGGAGTTGGGTTTCTGGTGAATTCTGGCGGCAATATCGCACAGTCGCCAGCGATCATGTCAGGTCTTATGATCCATAAAAATGGGTGACCACTTTTTACAAGCCCCATTCCAAATTCAATGAGCTGCTGCTTTGTAGCGACCGCTACGCTACCAAAATTAACATAAACGACCGAGTTGGGTTTCTGGGAATCCAGCCATTGGAGACATTCAACTTCTTCTTTCCATAGATTACATCCAATAGAATTCAGATCATCTTCTTGAATTTTATTGAGAAGCAACTGAAGTGGACCAATCGCATAGACACGACGAAACATGGAGTAAAGGGCATTCAGAACCTCTTGCTCCAATGCATCAAAAGTATGGAAAATAACGGCAGAACCTTCAGAAGCCCTCTCAGCACATTCCACGCAGAAGTTGAACATATAATCATTTGGATCTGTTGTTCGAACAAAACTTGGAAGGTCCCTTAACTTTATATCTCTCATTCCTGGGAGCCAATCTACTACTTTGTCCAAGTAACCATTTGTTAAAAAGCTCTCGTCTGCAAACAAAAATTGAACGTACATATAGCTTCTAGTAACTGAATAAAAGTGGCTGAAGAAACAGAGAAAAAATATATATATATAAAAAGAAGGTTTCCTAGTTTGTACTCCTAGTGAAAAGAATGAATAATTAAGGGCACCAGTTTACTTACAGGAGAAAATATTTTGAATTAATGAAATAATCAAAAAAACCTTAATGAAATTATAATTACGTTTTTTTCCTTGTTCATACCTTCTAGAGGTGTCAGACCTTTTTCTTTGAGTGCTCGAAATTGTCTAGTCCCCATGAAGCTGCAAGCAGAGATGGTATAGAACAATGC